TTTCACCAAAGCGCTGCAATCGCGTGAAGTGTTTATCATCTGCTACAGACGTATGTCAACCATATGCACATTGGGCGTAAAAATAATTATTGCTTAATAATCATGTGATGCAAACTGGAGCATTTATTTGTTGAACAAAGCAAATATGTCGGCTTCAAGCTCCGTTGCAAGAGTTACAGCCGGCATGATTGCAAGATACTCGTACACATCTGATTGGTTGGATCAACCAGTCATCATTTCGGCAACAGCTAACCTGGGTCAGAGTAATAAAATGCAGTTGCGGCTCGCTGCACTGAAAACCGATTCACAAAGCAAGAAAAGTGGATATGCGACTTGAATAACGAACAAACACTAAAGAGATGTGCCATGCTTATTGAGGCCGCATAAAATGTGAACATTTGTTGGTGATACAAATGTCCAGAACTGCACTGCACCTGTACGATACATTTTCTTAATGTTAGAACTTCATGAACTGGAATGCAGTCCATTAGACAACGAGCTTCCATACGCCACATGGTTTGTTCGTTAGTGATGTAGCATTGATGCAAACCACTATGGAATTGGGCCAAGACAGGCTATACCATGTGTACAATGGAATGAAAGGTTTACCGTTCGTCAACCACGAGTTTACAGACTCGATGAAGCCGTCAAACTGGTGTATATGCATCCCACTTAGAGGCCGCATCGAACGATCTACGAAGGCAAGATACAGTAAGTCTGACTGATTAGGGCTGTTTAGCACAATCTATGTTGGGTCATTGTGTCCTTAACGCACCGTGGTGCACTTATTGTGAACACCTCTCATTTTCCATTGTTGTCACCGTTATCCAAAAGCCATCGACTGTTTTACGAAAATGCGCAATCGGACTTACTGCGTATACCGCGCGTGTGCAGACCCACGAAATTTTCTCTAATTGTAGTTGTGAGGACGGACGGCATGCTCTGCCGACCAATGTTTTGGTTCAGGCATCAGCTGAGGGCAAGCGTTATAGCTCGTTGAGGAACAGACAGGCGGGCCATAGTAGCCGTTATTGTCGTCGAGCAAGATGAGGCACAGAAAGACACGTTACGCTGTCAAGCGATCAATAACTGTCAGCTAATTTCGCTCTGAGTGCAGAAGGTCAAAGCCAAATGTAGGCACTGGAACGACCGAAGGCTGTCGGTGTGTCGCTTTGGGTTAAAGGAAACAGCCATGCGAAATGCACGCAGCAGTGAATCATTGCGCCACCCACCAAGTCGACTGAAGCAACATGAAACGGACTGCGACAAGTACGTCGTGAATTTGTGCACTTGCTAATTATTCGGCGAACCAGGCGGTTTTGAATAGGTAGGGCGATATTGTCCAACAAAAGTCCAATCACTTTTTCATTGAAATATTTGGACCACATTTCGTTTTCGGGAATGTGGCCGGTAGCTTGTTGACTTTAGTACCAAATCTTTGCTTTTCCTAGCATTCCCTGGATTTCTTCCTATGGGACTATATGAAACGAAACGTGTACAAAGCCAGTCCGCATACATTGGAACAGCTTAAATAGACTACTGAGAATGAATGTCGCGTGATCACGAGGGGGACATTGTAGTAGATTTTTGCCAGTTGCATCAGGCGGGTTCTGCACTGCAAACAGGACGCTGCCGGACATTTTAAACGCAAACTTTACTGATATTGTAGATCGCTCAACCACTTGCTTACAAAAATAACTATCCACTTTTACAAACGAGTTAACGACTAAGTTGGTCTACTGTCAATTGGTGCCACTAATGCGATGGGGCGGATCAAATTATAAGCGACTAGGATGTCGTTGGGAATTTCACCACAGAATTGGTCCGCGTTCCCTCTCATAGCACTTAGGATATATTCAGATCGAGTGATCAACTTGATTTGTGCCATAATTTCAAACCTTTAAACGGTTTTTGTCCTTTACGGAAGGAAACGGTTTTAGGCAGTTAGTTGGCGTTGTGTGGCTATCTTAACACAATCAGAGCGTTGGAATGTTGTAATCGGGTTTCAGAAAGACAGCAAGCATTGATGGACAGGCATTCCAAGTTGCGTACGAGACCATCCTGCTATCTGATCTGTATAACTGCGCGTAAATTTAATTACCTGAGACGGAACGAAGAGATATTGGGGCAGATTTTGGACTGCAACAAAACCAACAGGTAAAATATCGTAGAAATAGCAATCGACTGGGATTCCGTAAGTGATTCCTTAGTTCCTACGTCTTTTGTTTGGTAACATACCAGCTACTGGTATAACACTCTCCACAATGTCGGAAATACGATGCTGCGATTCAATGCTGCATCGGAGTGAAGCAAGCTGCAGTGATTTTATTTAGTGGCGAGTCACATCCGGTGCGTCACAGCATCGTAAAACAAACATTTATGGCATTTTATATGGTGCATGCTTGCAAGCAAACCCTGCCACTTCCTGGAGCACTGTTTCCGAACACTTCGCTGGAACCGGGCGAGCTTGGACCGCCTAGCTAGCACCACGAAGAGGTATTTCAAAAGACCAGCCGCAATGCGAACTATGCACAGAGGCGCTTACAAGTCGCATGGTAGAATTAAAGAAAAGCAAGAATGTTTGCCATTGTGACATTGAATCTGTAGCAAAAGATCGCACAGAAAATAGAAAATCGCATCGCCAGTTAACGAAAGACCAGGTAGAAAACGAAAATGCTTCGACTTAGAGAATGGCAACAACAATCCAAGCAACGGTAGTCCATGGTGATCTACATTGCTACCCGGGTCTAGCTTACACAGCAAAACACAAACTTAGTGAAAGGCCCGTGTGATTTCAAAACCGCTGTACCTATCTTCGCTTGCATTGTACGGTAACATTTGAATAGAAAGGCCCGTTGGCAAAGCACGATGACAGCGTTCTTTCTACAATTCCATCTATCCTGTTGATTAGCACAATCAACGCCGAACTCAATGATGAAGGGCAGTATGGGAGCAATTAACGCAACAATTCCTCTTGTTACGTCCACTATTCTCTCACACAATGCCTCATGGTGATATCAGAGTAAATATGCTGCTGAGGTAGACACAGTATTTGGCCATCAACTTACCTGCAATCACAGCATAATACTAATACTTAGCAATCCAAAGTGGAACACATTTTGCTAAAATGGTTTCCTTAAGGCTCGTTATTGCATGTCTGTTTCCTTTCACCTAACGAGGCACACCAATAGCCATCGACCGTTCCAGTGCCTACGTTTGGCCTGAACTTCCACACTCAGCACGAAGTTAGCTGACAGGTAACGATCGCTGGACAGGGTAATGCATCTGCCTCGGCCTCATCTCACTCGGCGACAATGACGGCTAATGTTACTTGCTTGTCTGTACTTCGACGAGCTATAATGCTTGCACTCAGCTGACGCCTGAACTAAAACACTGCACTGCCAATCATGTCACCCGTCCTCACTCCTAAAATTAGTGGGAAATTCACGGGTCTGCACCAGCACAATATACGCTGTACATCCGATTGCGCATTTTCGCCAAACAGTGGATCGCTGTTGGATGGCGGGAACAACGATCGCAAAAGAGTGAGATTCACAATAAACGCTCCACGGTTCGTCGAATATACGAACTACCCAACATAGATTGCGAAAAGCGGATTTAAACCGTAGTAATTATTGTACTGCAAACAACATGACCAAAAGGAGTGTGGCTGAAGGCTTATGGAGAATTCTCAACGCTATCATTCAGCCACTCTCCCGCATTTATTCGCAATGTCTCTGTTCCTTAAGATGAATTCGAGAAATGCACGAAGTCGCGCTAATACTCTGCTTGATTAACCGATACATCACGACTTAAACGGTCCATCTGTGCGACTGAGAACACGTAATTGGCATATAGTTTTTGCAGTTACAATTCAGAATTGTAACGGCGTTGAGCAGAACAATGGGAATAGATGTGCGCACACTGGTTGTAATAGGAGTGCCCAATAAAACTAAACTGATGGCCCAAACGAGCGAGTCAGACAAGAAACGGAGGGCGCACATAACGGAATCGAGCACTGGGCACTGGTCTACTGAAGTTCGTGTGGGTTAATAACCGTTTGTTAAAATGCGTCAAAGAAGGAAACACGTAGGCTCATAATGGTTGTTTATTATGGGGACGAACGGAAAACCGCATCGAGGTTTTCTCATTGCCAAAGGTGCTGTAATTTTCTCTGATTTGTCATGATGAATAATCGCTTGCACGCAACGGACTGCGTTCTGACAGAAGTGTAGAGATTGCACAGAAGATACCAATTTCGTTTAAAGAACCACCCTCGATCAGACTGTTGGAAAATACGTCGCACAACATAGAGGACTCTAACATTTGCTCTTTCAAATCCATAGTGCATAGCGTCATATTATCGCACGCTTTCGAATCTATTTGAAGTATCTCGTATTATTTTTACGGAATGGGGAACTGTACGCTGTTATATATAACCAAATTCCTAGTTAAATAAATTTACAGAATTATTGTGATCGAAGAAGACTACTGCAACTATCAACATGTTATAGTTACGTTGGTTCATGTGACGCTCACAAACAGCGCACTTATGGATTCGTAGAATGAGCGTTACTGATGAGTCCCAGTAGGACGTACTGGCCGCCTGGTGTGTGGTGGCTGTGTGCTTGAGTCAAGCTGTGGCGAACGTTCTCAAAACAACACTAAATCCCCCGCCACTCACTACTAATTAGTAATCGCCCAGCAGCTTACATACCAAACGGTTGGTGGCAACAAACCAACGAAGTCTTGTCTCTCAGTGCAAACGCTGTCCTCAGTAAGTTCATAAAGTGCATGCAATTGTGCGAGAAGCTGCGCTACATCGCACATTGATATCAGTCAGGAGTGAAACGATTTACCCCCGCCCAAATTGCAATGAACCAAATATCACACTAAACCACACGAGAGTACGTACAAGGTTGATCCGTGTGCTCAAGAATCAGAAATATTGGCGAAATTCGAGCACGGTGAAAGTGGAAAATGTGCTCCGTCATTCATTATCACATATGCTTACCTGACGATTGCGTAGTTTCCGAAGTCTCGTGAGTGGTTGGTCTTGTGGTCATATTGCTCACCACTGTGATTTGATCAGTGATAGCTGAAGACAAGTGGGAAGAGCGAAACGCAGTAAAAGCTTTGTGAGCCCTTTCCATTTGGTTAGATACGAAAACATACAGAAAAAATTACAATAGAACAACAGCACAACAATATATCTAAGGCCGGTAAATCAGCTTCGCAACGTGCATTTGCGTTGTGCAAATTCTAATCGATGACTTCATGACGGAACAGGCACTTTCTTATAAAACCTGCTCTTAACGACTTGCAACGTGACAGGAAACAAGAACACCTCGACAGGAGAGTCAGAATTGAGCTATTTCGCGTGATCACCTCAGCCGTTCAATTCAAGGAAACGTTGGGTTGCATGCAAAGACAACCAAGATTTAACATAATTGCATTTATTTCCTAATAATAAATAGTTCAATTAGTTTAATTGCAAGTGGTATGCGACGTAATGACAGTGGTCCTATAGCGGAAACTGGCTACCGTACCGTACTTATAGTTGCCCGTCAGGTCCTTCCAAGTTCCGTGACTTAGATTGATGACCTAGTGGTTGTGTTATTAATGCTTCAACTCCTAGAGGAGTGAGGCGATTGCCCACTGCTGTCGAACCTCAGTGGCACGAAACTATCATCCGGTGCTTGCCGATATATGGCTGCAGTCGCATAGGTACATTTGATTGTGAAAGACGTGGGTACAGAGCCGCAGACAGACAACATTGCATCTCCGTCGCACTACTGTCCACCACATATTTGCGATGCAGCTGAAACCAACTTGTCAATCGGAGCAATCATGAAGTGGAACGATTAACCCCGTCTAACTTGTAAAACACGAAAAATCACACCAGATAACCAGAGGGATTCACGGTGAAAGACACTGCCGGTGAAATTGGAACATGTGTCCCATCATTCATGATCACATATGCTCACCTGACGAACCCGTAGTTTCCGAAGTCTGGTGAGTGGTTGGTCTTGTGATCACATTGCTCACCACTGTGAATTGATCAGCGATAACTGAAGAGAAGTGGGAGGAGCGAAACACAGTAATAGTTTTGTGCGTGAATTTTAATCGTGACTTCTACTTTCTACAACCTTTACCCTACTCACAAACATCCAAAATTAATCTACTATCGCCCATTGGACATTCGAAGGACAGGTACTTCAGCCCATTGGGAAGTGACGTGTGAGTGAGCGAATCTGCAACACCAGGACAGGTACTGTGGGCCCATTGGCAATATGTCGCGTACCATGCAGAAGTCATGTGTTAAAATTTGAGCACCTAATCCTCAGCCCTCGGTAGCTCAGTGGTAGAGCAGCGGACCGGAAATTCGTGGGCAGGGGTTCGATTCCACGTCGAGGCACATTATTGTGCGTGAAGTTTAATCATGACTTCTACTTTCTACAAACTTTACCCTACTCACAAACATCCAAACTTAATGGTTTTGTGATCCATTTCCATCTGGTTATATATTATAACCCGCAGTAAAAATTACAATATAACGAAGCCAGCGGTAGACGCAAAGTCGAAGCTGACATTCATTTGGTTCGCTCCATAACCACATTGTTATTCATGCACGTTCTTTTTAACTGTGCCCTCCGTAAGTTCACATAATTTTTGTGACGGTTGGTTGAGTTCATTTTGCTAATTCTTTTATTGCTTCTTTTCTTTTCCTCACATAAACTGCTCAAGATTGCATGTGCATTTAGCAGGGTAGATGCAATCCTAACGAGGGTTTCGTTTACACCGATTCCATGGGTAAACATTTGTCGAAAATGCCACAACCAACTAACATTCTGAACTCCTCAACATCTCAGAATTTTCTCTTAAGCAAAATCAATCGATATCATCCGCAGATCGCTTAGCGGCTACCAGCCGGACTGCAGGTCATTGCAACCTGCAAATACGACTACAACTGGTTGTCGCACAGTGAACCTATATAACGCTGATATCCTGCAATACACCCATGTAGTCTAGCAGGCTGAAGTTCCATTCCCATCGTACTACTGCCAGCTCCAACTACATCGCAATTGTGGTTATTTAGCTCCAGTACGATATTATTATTTGCGCAATGTGCAACATTCGAGGGGCCCAGACGTAGTTCATACGCCCAATGATCTCCAGGTGTATGGAAGGAAAACACAGAAGGGCGAGGAAAGAATGAGAAGTAACTTAGCTGGACCTGTAGCTATATGGCGGCATCAGCTTGACTACGTAGACGGAGACACTGAGACCTGTAAATTGACTGACTGCGCTGGTTCATAATCAATGCCTCGGTGACAACGAAAGGCAGCGACGATAGGATGTGCAAGATTTCGAACTATCCGCTTGTGTATTGTATTGCGACCCACAAATGCATTTTGTGCATTTTGTGCCGTAACTCTTGCAAGTTCTTCCATGCGAGATGCCCCCGAGTCAAACCTAGTCAGGCTAAGTTATTGAGCAAAGGATACTCGCTGTGGTTCTCTGTGGAATACACTTCGATCCCACTGATAAAATGCATCCTCGTATTATCTCAGAGGGATGACCCTCTGCTATCCAACTTTGAGTAAATTGTGACCAACAAAATCAATACGGTTTGGGTAAGCATACCGGACTATGCAACGCAATCCTCCCCCCTTGGTTGCTGCTCCTATTCCTCGAAGAACTGCTAATAACATCGTAAGCAACACGACACCTAGAGTCCAGAACATCAACAGCTGTCCCAATACCACACGTAGCTTACATTTGACTAAAGCGTTTTCCGGTTCGATTGGAGTAACTACACGTATTGCTACTTCCAAACTTCCGAGGGAGTGCGTAGAAAAAGAACAGGCCGGTACTAGCGGAAGTTGGGTTACGGTTTCCTCCAAGAACAGACGTCATTTAAAATTAACATCTCCCCCAACTGGATCGGAAACTGAGGAGCATTGTGGAGTTTTCGTAGTACAAGCATCGCTGGTTTCCTGCGGTACATCTCCGAGTACTTCAATCACTAACCGCAACATGTCGAAAGGTATAAAGAAACAACTATCTGTACTGAGTGTACTGTGCTCCAATATCCCAGAATCGAAGTCGACATAAGTAGTAGGCAAGCAGTTGGATGACCTCAACCAGTGGGATATTATTAGTAACCTAATCGGAGTTGTATTGAAACCTGTACACGTAGTGCGTATTACACGACACCTCAACTCTAAACATTTCGGAGAGCAAAGACTTATGCGCGTTGTGCTGTACTCCATCACTGAAATCGAATCAGTACTACTGTCGGCGGGTAGTCTCAGAAATGAACACTGCTCCATCCGTATCTTTCCAGACAACCCATGGGGCGAGCGTTATCCAGTTAACCGCACCTTAGTAGACTACCGGAAGGAAAACTCAACCAGAACCATACTTCTTCACGGGGTTCCTGGAACTGAAGCATGGGATGAGCATGAACTAACA